GTGAATTCGAAGCTGAGTGCAGTCAAATCGTGATCTGGTGCTATGGATGATGGTTGAATGCTAGGAGACTGATGAAGTAAAATTGATGGCATAGATTCCCGCCTCAGTGGGCAGCTGCTGTCATGGAGTTGCAAAGAAAACCCATTAAATGTGGTACCTCCCTCTATGTGCAACACGCAGGGGCAAAAAATCTACTAGTCACAGGCTCCATCCATAATTCTGGCAGCCAGAAATAGATTTCTGAGAAAGGCTAATAAAGCAGATAGAAAGGGAATTCCACTGGGGTCTGAGCAATGTGGACTCAGAACTGCATTGCATTATAGAACCACAGCAGTTCTGCTGGAAGGAAAATCTGATTTCTGTTTCTTACCCACTTGCAGATTATGGATCAACAACTCAGAACATTTTTCTCATTGCAAGCCAGTTGTACTTGAGTCTGAGTCATCAGTGCAAGATTCCTGTGGTGTTCACATAGATACTATAGCAGACTTTCCCAATACTCTATAAACTGCCAGCATGATAGAATTAGTTTAGGTTTTTTCACTTGAATATGCTATATCAAGTTATTTTCTTCAAAAACATATGGCCAAAACTCCCAGATTTCCTGGAAGAATAACATATTTCAAATATTTTCAAATAAGTTCCCTATTTTAATTCGGCAAAGCACAATCTTTTGATTTTACTAATATGCCAGAGAACAAGACTTGTTTAAAATATCCTTTTTGTCAAAGCTTTGCCAAAGTCAGGATAGCAAACACGTACCAGTCAGATGAATATAAATGGCTCTTCCTCCTTGAGACTCTTCTCAGACTCTTCTTCCCATTGTAAGATCCATATCCAAAAGGTAGCAGATTATTAAGTGCAGAGCAACACAGAAGTCTTAAAAGTACAACTCAAAATGTAAGGAGGTGAAACAAAGGTCTCTCAGCCTTCTTCACATGATGAGCCTTTGATTTTTAGTCAAAAGGAGTCTTGTCACAGCATGTATAAAGGAAAGCGAATTTAGTGCTTCCCTTTGTGACCTTACCTAGCCACTATTACACAGGGTGGTTGTCATGAAGCAAACATGTTCCTGAGGGCTTCCTCAGGATTGTCCCAGAAGAAGCAGGCACAGATACAAAGGAGTGCTCTGCGGGCTCTTGGTGGATGGGAAAGGAAGCAGTAGTGCTTGTCTACTTTGTCTAAGCAGTTCATGTTTTTTTTAGAAGATTATTTGTGAACTAAATCTTCATCTGATAGAAAGTAAAAGTCCTGGTGCTTTTGTCTTGCACAAGAGAGCAGCTCAAAACAGAGGCAACTTCTTTAGATATAAATGCCTGGATGAAATGCCAGAGAGCTGAGGGGTTGATATTGACCTAATACAGCTTCTCTCCTCACAAACAGCGTTGAAATGCAAATTTGATCAAGTGAAAGGAGGACTGAAGCATTTCCCTAAGCACAGATGTAGAGACAAAAAACATACAACTAAGGAAAAAAGTATTTTCTGTTAAAAGTGTCGTGAGTTTAATGTCCTTTTCAGAGTCAGATTGGAACTTTACAGTGGAACTGAACTCACCAAGTGAGACTTTCTGTGCATAAGTCCTTTTCTGTGCAAGTCCAAACTTTCTGCTCATACTTGAAAGCTTATTTCCAACTTCTGTTCATCAGTAACACAAAGCAATAGTATCATACCTCTTTAATCTGCTTCTTTTCATTTTATGTTTATTTTGTAAGCTGGTAAAAATAACCAGTAGCAGTAGTAAAAGCAACCATTGTTTCTTGTTTACACTTTCCAGAATTAGGCAGAACTCATCTGTTTTCTCCTTAGTATCCAGATGCAGTAACAAATTCTCTAGTATTTGGTATTTTATCATGCATCTTCCCCTAAAAGTTCAAATATGAAACATGATGCTACTGCATAATGTGCCCCAACATACCAAGAAAATGAGGGACCTGAAGTCCTATTAAGAGCCTTCAATTCGAATGTAGTACAAACTCCATTTCAAATTCCTTGCTTGTCCAACTGTCTCAAAAACAGGTAAGAACAGACCTTGCAAAGGAAAATTATTCCATTAGAAGTATTTGATATCAATTTACTGTTACTGAGAGTGTTTACTCATGGTTATGTTTTTCTGGAAAGACACATGTTTTTCTTTTTGCTCAAATGAAAGAGTACCTTCTGCTTTGTGCAATAGTCTGTCAGTTCCCTAGGAAATACGTTCATTACAGCTGAAAAAAGGACTGCTAAAATAAATGATACTGTGGCTTTAGCATTCAAAATCTCCTGAAATAATTTTCATAAAGAATAAAATGAACATGTATATTCCAGTTCTAATTTGGGAAAAATGAGCATATTTCACAAATCAATCACCAACATTTATCACAGTCTCAACTCCTGTTTTAAACCCTTTTTTTCCCTAGATTACAGTTTGACCTAGAATTACTGAAATTAACTTTTAAATTGAAGTTTAAAATTAAAGGAAGCTTGCATTTAGCTTTTTAATCATCAGCTTGTAATCAGGAAGTTTCAGGAATCAATGTGTTTAACTGTATTTTACAGGCTCAATTATACTATTAGCTGGGGGGCAGGATATGGCAGAATTCCTGCAATTTTTAAAGGTCTGGAAAGCTGAATTTCCATGCTGCTTGGTACTCATGAATTTTTATTTTTTTTTTTAATCTAAATTTGTATTTTTTTCATACCTTAGAAATGCCAGAGTGAGCCTCAAGTCATCCAGTGTTCCTTAATATGAGATTTTATCTCTATTGTTCTCAAAATCAGTTCTTAATTTCCATCTTTCTGGCAGCCTTCTAGTTTACTACTATTGATAAATTCTTTCATTATTTGTAATGTCTCCTATCCAACATCTGAATTCCAGTCAGAATACTTTGATATTATTGGATTATCAAGCTTGTCAAACTGTCTTGATGCCTCCCACTTCCATATCTGCCCTGAGGCAAGTTTTTGGGTATTTCTTGCATTGCAGGAATTTGGTGGATTTCCACCTGCACTCTTTTAATTATTAATAGGCTTGAAAGTTTACTGAATTATAGACCTGATCTAAATTTTAATGAAAATCCAGGAAAGAATCATGTTAGCTACACAGGATACCCAGTAAAAGGAAAAATTAAGCAATGCAACAGCAAAGCACCTTTCAGATGACAGCTATGTTAGACCCAACTCTGAAACGCAAACATTAAATATACAAAGCAAGGTTGTAATATTTTTTTTCTCTGTGACCATGAAAATCTGTATTGTAACACAGGTAATAAGCTACATTTTTCTGCTACTGTAAACACACACATGAACTCACCAGTCCATACCTGAAAAGAAGATGCTGCATGTTTTATAATATCATATATTTTTTAAATGTTGCATTTTTTTCCTAGTCACATAAATACATATAAACATAACATAAATACACATACACATAAATACAAATAAACAAATAAATAAAACAGTTGTTCTCAGCTTTTAAAAACAATTCATCCATTAATTTTATTACAATATTTTCTTGGACTGAAGCATTTGTTACCAACATTTGCCTAGCTAGACAGTGCCCCTGAATAACCAGAAGCATGTACATATATTTGAATAATGTTAGGTTGTGTATATATATATATATACACAAAGAAGGTATCCTATGTATTTTACCCTATCATCAGATAGTCAGATTCAGCATTGATATCCTAAGATTATGTGTATAGTTATTTATAGGTTTATTGGGAAACAGTTAACAAAAACAAAATCAGAAAATCCCACTCCAAAATAAACTTCAATTAATTTCAAATCTTTATGCTGCTCAGTGACTGTGGCTCTTGGCATGTTTTGTGAACACTGTGTAGAGTGAAACAGTGGCCCTGAGGATCTGAGATGCAGAAAAAATACATTTCAGATGCTCTTTACTTTGGATTAAGAGTCCATTTGTGGCTGTGGTACCTTCTTGGTATATTTCTGGAACACAGCTCTCAGATAATTACATCCATAAGGAACCCAGTTCATGTACTCCAAGACCAAGGTATTGCAAAACAAAGACCATTGGGAGATTCATGTCAAAAGCGGAGTCCTGGATTAAAATGCCAGTATGAATGAGAACTCTCCTTCCAAGACCTGCTGGAAGCTGTTCACAGCACACATCCTCAATTGTGTTGGCTTCATGCACTGATAAAACAGTTACTGGAGGCTTTCACAAGCTCATAATTTAAGACACTGTATTTTTACACTCTGGTTTGAGATCCACATGACATACAAAACAAATCTGAAGGGGAAAATGCAACTTTTTAATAATAAAGAAGAAACTAGAAAACTGATGTTCTGATCCCAGAACATTAGTTTTTTGGTGGTGTGAGTTTTTTCTCAAAAGAAAAGAGACAGAAAGCTGGAAGTTGTCTGTCAGAATTCAGAATAAATCTACTATTGTGGAAGTTAGAAATTCTAATAGTCTCTATTAAATCATTGTCTATAGTACTGAGACTCTTAAGGATTGTCACAATAGACACTTTAAAAATATTTTCACCTTAGCCCTTTTTTGATACTCTCTGGGCTGACACATTTTTTAATGTGTGATTGAGATCTCAAATATCACTGGATCAGCATTGGTTATAAATGTTTCTTTGGGAGCAGGAGACTTGTAAATATTTTAAGTTTAACACAGTCCTGTTTGAACTGAATAGATGATCAGACCTTTGTATGCAAGGCTTCTCTTTTATGTCTAAGGTAAAGTGGTTGTTCTGCAGCTTGGTTGCCTATAGACAGCAGTCAACAGGAATGATTTATTAATGTTTCCAGTGTGAGTTGGCTTAATGAATACAAACATCACAGCCACACAGGTGACTTGGCATCTACCTGCCTACTTTCAGATTGGGGGCAAAATTTTAGATAGAATTTGTAATTGAATGCTTGAGTTCCTTCAGAAACTGAAACAGAAAAGTTTTCTGATACTCTATGGCACATCAGATTCTTATTTTGGCTCATCATACACATCAAATTGCTTGATTTCAAATTACACCAATGTATGGAAATGTACAGAGTATCCTCAGCCTCTAGCACATCCACGTGAGTGCCCAACACAGCTTTCCTTCAGTATGAACTACAGCTACTAAACAATAACATTTCTCACCCCTCTCTAGAGATGGAGAGGGGAAGTTTTCAAATGCATAAATAACAAATTCTGAAATCAGTGGGAATGAGATGCTAAAGCTTCCATCTGTGCTACTGCATATATTTGCTGTCCATATGCTACTTATGTAGCACTGAGAGTGCAGGTATGTATGTACTGGCAGCTGATTGATACTCGATTACACTGCAAGATGCACGTGCTGCACATTATCTATCACCTTCTTTCTTCCTCTCACTGACCAAAACATAATCTACTTGACCCAACCTTCATTAAACAATTGTCAGTCACTCTTGTACTAACTTCTCCTAGTGACAGTTCATCCTAATAGCATTAGTCAGAATAAGCTGAAAAGTCAGAGTCATGAAAATAGAGCCAAGTTGTCATTGTTTTAAAGACTTCAGGTAACCATCACTGTTGCTGCTATCAAAAGACATTTTGGTTTCGTTTTTATTTTCTTTCAGATATAAAGAGTTCAGGAAATTCCTTCATTGCTGCAAGCTTCCCTGAAGAGAAGAAAGGAACACAGAGGAATTACTCTACATGTACTGCCAGAAGACAACTGAGCAAGGGAAAAGGATCTCCATGTACATTTGTTAAGGATGTACTCCTTATGGTAGTTGAGAAGACCCTCAGCCAATACAGGCTAGACATACTTCTCACAGTCAAAATATTTAAGTCAAGTGATTTACCAAGATAAGCACCAGGCAGAGAAATTGTTGGACAGTAATTGAGACTGAGATGTACAAATATCTGCATGGGAACTTCAAGCTTTTAATTTTTTTCCACAATGCCCTAAATATTAATGTGGAAATATATTGGTACTCATAAATCTCTACACAGTATTTTGCTGAAACACTTGAACTTCCAAATTTCCATATTTATTTTTTGCCCATAATCTGATAACTATTTACTGTTGCCTATTGTCCCAAACACCCTTCCCGAATGTAAAGATTTAACTTTTGGCCTAATTTACAGCATCCACAAATACCACAGGCATAAACATGAAAAGTCACTGCTCAGCTTTTTCAGAAGGTTGTTATAAAAGAAGAGATATGTCTAGAAAACTGAGCTGAGAAGCTGCTGAGGAGCTGTTGGGGAATACTTTTGGAATTAGGGTTCCCTTTCCTAGACTGTAACCACAGCCACTTTGCTCTTTAAAATATACTGAGGTTGGTGCCGCTTCCACTGAAACCAGTTCCAAGTCTTCTTTTTCTTCACAACAGCATAACTTAAAAAAAAAAAAAAAAAAAAGACTAACTGAAAGATAGGCAAATTGATGATGCCAAATCTTGGTTTTCAGAGGCTCCTGTAGGATTCAATCACCATTACTGACTTACAGGAAAGCTTTGAAAGCACAGCATACTGCTTAGGGCTGACTCAGAAAAGTCCAAGGATAGCCCTCTGTCCTGCAGCCTTTCCTGAACAACAGTAATGGAAGATGCAGACTAGAATTCAAAGAGGAAAAACATGATTCAAAGACTGGAAACTTGCCTTTCTGTCCTTGTTCTCCTCTCTGTTATCATGAGCTAAGTTTCATGTGAAATGATTGTAGAATATCTCAATTTGGAAGAAACCTGTATGCATCACCAAGTCCAACTCCCTGCTCCTCACAGGACTATCTAACACTAAACCATGACCAAGAGCATTGTCCAGGTGCTCCTTGAACTCTGACAGACTTGGTACCATGATCATTCCCTGGGGTGTCTCTCCCAGTGACTGGTCACTCACCAGTGGAGAACCTGTCCTGAACTTTCTCTGATGGACTTTCATGCCATTCTCTCACATCCTACCATCTCTGGTCACCAGACAGAGGAGATCAGCACCTGTCCCTTCACTGCCTCCCTTGAGGAAGGTGTAGACTGCATGGAGGTCACCTCAGCCTTCTCCCAGTTGAACAAACCAAGTGACCTCAGCTGCTCCCTGTAAGTCCTTCCCTGGAGACCTTTCATCATCTTGCTCCCCTCCTCTGGACACTCTCTAACAGTTTGTTGTGCTTCTCACATTAAGGCACCCAAACCAGCACAGAGTGCTCGAGGTGGGGCTGCACCAGTGCAGAGCAGAGGGACACAGTCACTGCCCCCTCGCTCGGCTCACTGCACTCTGCTGGATGCAGCCCAGGGTACAGCTGGCCCTTTCAGCTGCCAGGGCACTCTGGTGACTCTTGTACAGCTTGTCATCAACCCAAACACCAGATCTCTTTCCTCAGGCCTGCTTTCCAGCCTCTCATTGCCCAATCTGCACACATAACCAGAGTTACCCCATCCCAGGGGAGAGTCCAGCACTTGCACTTGTTAAATGATGCTGATGGGATTTCCATCCCAGAACCATTGCAAGGTGCTGTGATCTCACAGTGATAGAACAGGCACAAGGATGTACAATGAGCTTGAAACAAGAATTTTTATTGTTCTTGTGTTTGTCTTTTCTGAATATGCATGGATTATTTGTTCTCCAGGCACACTAGTGTAGAGCCCCTAACTAATCCAAGTGAATCCCACCCTGGAGGAAAAAAGAGGTCCAGAAACAAATCTTTCCTATTCCACAAGGTGGAAATTGCCTAGGTGGAATATAGTCTATGTCTCTACATTCCTACACTCACATTGCAAGCCAGGAGAGATTTTGGCCAACTCAGGCATAGTACCTCATGAGAAAGTAGATGAGCGATAGAAAATATATGTCCCATCTCAGAAAACCAGTGTAGCAGTCAGAAAGGGAGAAGAGGCTAGCAAGCTACTTCATAAACCTATGTTAATCACATCTATTTGTTGTTTGTTCTGGACAACTCTCACAGTAAAATGTTACTGCAGGAGAGTTGTTCAAAGCATACACAGGTACCCACAATCCTGAAGGTGCTACTCTAGGGCAAAGGAGAGTAACCTTCCCTCCGTACTAACTTCCTGTAAAACACAGAAAACAGGCAAGCAACAAAGCTACAGTAACCCCAACAGTAAGTTTCACTGATCTCAAAATGTACCAGAGATACAGGCTAGATGTTAATAAAAAGCTTAATCTAGTGCAAATAATTACAGAGTAAAAAGCTGGAGTGGGCAAAATTCAAATGAAGTGTTTTTGTGTTTGTGCCTCTGATAGTACTGGCACAAATTTCAGTGGGAAAAGTATAAGAAGCCTAAATAAATATGCTTATAATAGGATCTGTAAATAAAACTTTAGGAAGTATCCACAGCGAGAATTAATTAAACTGTAAGGCCTTTTTTCTAATGCCATGAAAATCTTACTGATTATGGCTGATCTTTCCACCTGCATTTCCATCAGTTTCACACTCTCATTTGCTCTCTGTTTTTGGTTTTACTTTTTTGGTGTGGAGCAGTTTTCAGATTCTTGTCAGTGAAAAGCACCATGCAGTTTGGTTGGATTCTGTGAGCCCTTTGGTATCAGAAGGAACTGAAAGTGGCCCCCAGAGTGTAGAAATACTTAGTTTTAGGGTAAAAAGTTGGTGCCTGTACCTATTTGAGGCATTCCCATAGCTTCTGTAGAATGTTAGGTGTGTGTGGTAAGGACCTGTAAGAGCCAGGCTTTCACAGGGTGAAATGCTCAACATTCTCAGAAACTTTAAAGTCAGGCATGGGTGCTCAGCACTTCTCAGAATTCAGCCCTGCATGATGCAGATTTTGAAACAGGATAATTTCCACAATAACAGCATCTAGGAGTTTTGATATTAGAAGTCCCCTCTGAAATCAAGACAAAACCATACCAATTTATTTGGATTTTTATAAGGAAATAGAGCATAAACTTTATAAATTTATATGTTTTCTTTGCACAGAGGCTTCCTAATGAATAACACTATGCTGTCACTCAGCTGGAAAAAATGTGTGTATGAATGATCAGCTGTAAGTTTAAATTTTCAGTTGACCATATTGTGAAGTTAGTGAATAGAGCAGAAAACTGAATATTCATTCTACTCTGATTATGTGAAGTGCAGCTATGATGTGAAATCAAAGGGCTGTGTTCTGTAAAAAGGGATTAGCTAGTAACAAAGGACAGCAAACACAGTTGGGATGGAAATTCAGAATACAGCACTGTGCCACTTCAGTTCAAGTAGCTCTTCAACAAGGATCTCCGAGTTTGCTTTATAGGTTGCCTATATTTATCAATTAGTAATACTCAAAAATATTAGCCTTTCTACTTGTTAGAATCCAAATCAAACTGGATCTAAGTAACTGGAAATAACAGAAGTAATCATGATATCATATGTATTTCCATCCATTTTTCTCATATATATTTATATGTATGTATTTTTGGAGACTTGTCAGGGATTATTTTCCTCACTGGTGCTGTTCAAGAGGTATTTCAGTTAATTTGGGTGTTATGGGAGTTTTGCAATCCAACATTTTGCCACTTGATGGCACCAGAAAAACACTTGATCAAACTATCAGACTTTCAGATTAAGGTAGTTTGAAGCATAGATGTAAATCCTTCAAAAAGAGAAAATAAACAACCTCTTATATAAGCATTTATAAGTATATTAGAAACCAGAGAATAATTCTGTGATGATTTCACAGTTAACTTTACAGGGCTGTGAGATGCATTCCTAATGACAGTTGCTCACCAGAATGGATCAGCCAGGTACTCAAGCTGAGGAAGAGATCACAGCACCTTTCTAGGGATTTTCTCCCTTAACAGGAAGCAACCAGGGACTGCTGTGACTCCATGCCCTTGTACCAATTACATAAGGAGGAAGGAAATTTTACAGGAGAAGGTCAAATTCTGCCCCTGTACACACTGAAAAGTATATAACTTTGGACTCTGAATATTTGATCAACAGATCATTAAAATGCTTTCTCCGTTATTATGCACTCATATCTTAACCTGAAATATGCTGGGTCTCTAAAAACTTTTTCATTTGTCCTGGTTTAAGCATTTTCTTTTCCTATAATAATCTATTCTTTAAAATACCTTTAAACTGAAGGAAAGGCTATGTCCTTTAAAATAAAAAGTGAAATACACACACAAAAAACACTTCCACATTCATAGTCCATGGTCTTTCAGAGCAAATATTCTTCCTGCCATGAGGAACTATTAAATGGTGACAGCCACATGGAACCTTTCCTGAAAAATACACTCTGAGTGGTGCTGAGCAGACCTACCTGGGAGTTGTTAACACTCAGTTTATTTACTTTACAGCCTGTGAGGGCTCCTTTAAGCCATTACTGTCTTTTGTGGGAAATTAATTACAAGGTATTTGCAATAACTCTTTACACTTTCATGCACCAACAATGCCTTTGCCTTAAGGATGAACACTATCTATCCTTGTGCAGTTTTGCACACTGTAATCAATCACTGACTGGGTGCAGATGCGCTTTGCTAAGTGCACTGGCAGTGGGTCACATTACATATGCCTTCCCAGTCAAATGTATTGGAGAAAAGTAGTTGCCTCCTTGCTTCCATAGATGTAATGGGTCCTCAAGTTTACATCAAACAAGACCACAAAAACTGTGAAAAGCCTTGAAAAACACCTTTCAGCCACTGCCAAGAGCCTTACTTATACACACACATCAGGCTAGAGCATTGGCAGCTGTCCTTCCACTGACAAGCCACACCAATAAGGTTTCCAGTAGGTTTAGTGACAGCATAGAGTGAATTAAAATAGTTTCCTTTTTTTGTTTGTGTTTGTGTTTTGGTTTTGCCTTGTGGGTTTTAATACAGTTTTGCTGTTTATTGTGCCACAAAGTATTTGCATTCCTCTGGCTGTCTCCCAGCTCCTTGACCCATGGTGGCTCCCAGACCCACAGATACCTGACCAAGCAGGTTTTAAGTTTAGGCAAGATAAGTGATTGCCTCCCTTTCCAAGAATAAAAGGCTGCAGAGAAAGCCAGTTTACACATTTGAAACAATTTATTCTCCAGTTATAATTTTCTTTGATAGAATTGGCAAGAGTGATACATCTGATTCTCTTAATAATTTACAGAATACATGGGAAAGTAACAGGAAAGAGAAGAAAAATGTTCTCTGGCCTGATATACAAAGGAAGATGAAGGTCATGAGGCTCCCCATGCTGCATCCCTTTCAGGCCAAAACCATACCTGAGCAAAGAAACAGATCTTTAGAGACCCCTAGCATGTGTCAGAGAGTAGGAAAGTAGTATTAAGTGGGAGACCCTCACTAAGGTCACACGGGTTCTAATGTGTCCCTTATTACTATTACTGAACAAGTGCATCTCTCCACTTAATAATCTGATATCACGAGGGAAGATGCAGAACTACTGCACAGGAGCCAGAGTGTCCATAAGGACACTCTCTCATGTGAAACTTGATTTATGCCTATTTTATCAAAAAGTGTTTGAAGAGTGCTCACAGTATGCTTGTTGCTAGGGAAATGAGATGGTGTTCATCTGCACAACTCCCTGAATTTGTTCTGGGCCTTTCCAAAGTTGGAGCATAAATCCCTCCACCACAAGCCTTGACTTCTTTTCAATAGACAAATTCCATATGCTCTATGGACTGAACATATAGGGGCAGATGATATAATACCGAGCAACTGTTTCTTGTCTGCAGCAAAAGTCTAATAGAGCTCCAGTGAAAACAGTGCCAGATTTTTAAAAACTGCTAATATCTTACTTCCTTTCCAGGAAAAGGTCTATCTTTCTTCTTTCTCTTCTGCCTTTCATTCTGGGTGGGTTCAGGCTTGACAACTAATATGAGGTTTTAAAAATATAAAAAATATTCTAAACCATCTACCCTTAAACATGCAAAACTTTTCTGGCTGTTACAACTTGAGCTTACAAACATTCTCTAAATCATGGCAGTCATGAAAATGCACATTCATCCTTATTTTATTGCTGTCGTTAGATATTAAAATGAAAAGTGATCTACAATGGTAGTAAAGTAGTTCTGCCATGCCAAAGCTCAAAGTAGATTGACTGTCCTTATTCATGTGTATGTGTATCAGCAACATGTCCAATTATTGCAGTGAAAAATGTGGCAAGTCACACTGTAACACAACAAAAAATGGAAATTGAAAATACTTAGTATTTCTTTTCAATTCACATTTTGTTACAGTTGCATTATTGTAACAGAATGTATATTGAAAAGAAATACTAAGAAGTAGTCTACATATCTACAGCACTGGTAGATACACACCAGTTCTAACAGTAGAAATGGAAAATCAATTAGAATTATCCATGGAATAAACTTTCAAAGATTGCTGGTCTGCAAGAAAAGCCTTTCTATGAAAGCTTCCCATTCTTAAGACAAGACACAAAGTTTGAGTGAGAGTCCCAGCTCATTATAAATGTAACAATATACAAATGGTTGCCAGAATTCAACACTTTTAAGTCCTGTTATCTTTGTAGCATCACACATTAAAAGTAGATCTTTTGTTCAGCTCAGCTGAGGCATGAGTTATGCTGGCACAGCAATTTGTGAGATATCACACCTCATGTTGATTGCAGTGAGTCCCATAGCATCACAGCACAGATTTCACAATGAACTGCAGGACTTCTGTATCTTGTGTCAGAACGTATGAATAAAATTGATCTGGTAGTTGAAATTTATCTTTAAAACACCCATGTTAGTATGGAAAAAAAATAAGCACACCACTGTATTTAAATTCTTTGTGTGAAGGGACTTATTTCCTCTGCAACTCTGTAACTCTGCAACACCTATCTTTATGGAGACCAATCCAATGATGGAGTGGCCCAGTTGCACCCTGAGTCACAGATGACTTGAAGAGAGCTTGGGTGCAGCTCCCATGTCACAGCTATGTCATTAACCAGGCTACTGAACAAACCCCAGCCAAGGGTGGAAGTTCCTCCCACAGGAACTGCTAAGGCTGAAACGATTGAATCCCTGCAGGGCCTATTAACATCCCAACAGTTTTATATCCTCAAGCTGAGCAAGGGGAGGAGCCCTGAGAAGTTACCATAATCTCCTGCTTGGAAATGAATCTGGTACATCTTCTCACTGAGGAAAACAAGGGGTTTTAGCATTATGCAGATTTTGGTATACAGCCTTTGAAGAAACAAGAAATATTGTGTGACAATGTACAAATAATAAAGCTTCAAAAAGGTGTCTCATCTGAAATCTCCTACACATTTACAACAAAAACTCTTTGAAGCAAGGCCTGGTAGATAAGCCTTTTAAATGAAATACATAAGATTTTGGAGCACTAGGTGAACCACTTAGCTTTGCCCAGTAATATTTACTTCAGGCATTTGTTTTATTTTTTATTATACCACAAAGAACCATTAAGCAAATTAATTACTTTTTCAGGCTTAGATATTCTTCTGACTTGGTAAAATTGCCAAGAGACTCTTAGCTATGCTTAGTGATTAAATTCTTGTCCTTTAAAGGAGTGTTTTATTTTGCTTGCCCGTAAAAAAACGTAAGTCTCCAAGGTAAAATATAAATAATGTATTAGCATGATATAAATAGGTAATTTCTCAGCAAGTATAAACAGGGTATATTTTTGTTTTGTGTTACTAAAAGAAAGATTTTTTTAATTTATTTTTTGTACTAATTGTACATGCCATTGTTAACTAATATAGAGCTTATTACACAGAAGTCTATGAAGTTAGATTTTTTTTCTTCACTGTTTTAAAAAGACATTGCACACATCACATGTTCCTTCTATCTTTTCAGTCTTTGGCACCTGGCAATACAAACCATTCCTCATGCAATAAGTGGTATCAGTGAGAACACTTCCTACACTGCTTACACGTTGATTTGTTCCTAATGCATATTGACTGCACTGATTCAGATAAAGTGTGGGAGATGCAAATGAGAGTAGGTCACTTCAGGTAAGCTATTACATTTCTTCCCTAATATAGGCTTCCCAAACCACCAGACACTTTGGCTAGATGCACTTCACCTGTATCTTATCTTTCCTTAATGAAGTAAAAGGGCAAGGTTTTCCTCTCACAGCCAAAATTGCACAGTACAGGTTCCTTGGCAATAAGTAGCAGCAACACTATGAGGAACAAAAATCTCTCCCTTGAACGAAGAATGCAATGATTAGGTTTAGAAAATTAATAGTGTTTACCCAGCACATGCACTCTCCTAACAAATACTGATCTTGCTTACTTGTCTATGAGTTAATTAGGTTTTCTTGGCTGTGTTGTTCATGGCCTCTTTACCTAATGTGAATTAAAGTGTTTGAGAACAACTATAAAGAACAACTTCTCTCTCAGAAAGCAGATTTATGAGAGAGAAACCTCAGAAAAGTCTGGCTTGGTAAAACCTCATTATGTCATGACACACAGCTCCAGGAACTGAATTAATCTGGCTCCTGTACAAGACTGTGACTTTGCTTTACACAGCAACTGGGAGAAGGTGTTTGCTCTCAGTAAGTTGCTGTATGCAGTGGTGCTAAAGTTAAATGAATCCAAACAGGGTGCTAGTCTTTCTTACTGGAATAAGCCACCACTTTAATTGTCCTCAGATTTCATTATTCTCCTGATTTTATTTAGTCTTAAATTACTCTACCACTAAAATTTTATAGCTGAAAAAAACAGCCACAGGAACATGGGCTCTCCATGAAATCCCAGCTCTCAGTATCCCGTAAAATCTCCTGTTTAGCTTTATTCTCCTTCCTCACAGAAATAAATGCCATCTTAGAGACAAATTTTGATTACATAAGCACAAATTCAGTATTAATTGGAGCTGTGCAAAAATCTTTAATTCCCTTAAGCCACATAAAAGTAAATGAGAATCAGTATGATTGATCATGTAAAAAAGCTTCAAGGGCAGGATCATTGGGAATTCTTTGCAGGATGCAAGCAAAAGAGGACTAAAAAACCAAGATACCACTTTTTTGATTCTCACATCTTTCCCCATTCTTGCAAAGTGTTATATTTAATCTAAAGCCCAGTGAAATGTGAAATAACAAAATTTTCTTTCTTTCTGTCCTTCTTCCTAACAACTTAAACCAACCCAAGACCACTGTGCCTGCCATTTTCCCCCTCTCACCTGTACCCCACACACATTTCTAGGTACACCATGTTCCCAAACTTCAGATCACCTCAGGGTTGAGACACTGGGATCAATTCAAGCAGTCATCAACCTTTCCATCCCAGTATCTCTAGCAAGACTTTTGACATGGTTGTTCTGAGGAAGACCAGAGGTAAGAGAGAACTCCGCTGGTTTAGCCTTTATTCTTGAAACTAACTTAAAAACACCATGGCAGCCATGACTCTTTTCTGCTGAAGTTTAACAGAATCTGACTATACCAGTGGTCATGGTAAGCATCTTGGCTTAAAATAAATCTGTATGTGCTGATAATTGCAGTCTCATGGAGGATGTCTCAGCACTGAGAATAAAAACAACTCATGCAGCCTGAGCTATTAGCACAGCTGCCATTCCCCACAAAAGCATGATGGATCACTTAGTGTGTCTAATATCTTCTGCCAGACAACTAATCCTTCACAGTCCAAAACAGGGAAAGAAAAATGGGGAAAAAAATCATCAATGGGACCAAAAAATAGCATTTTTCGGGCCAAAGTCATGCCTACCACCTTTACTGGGGTCAACAGAAATACCCATGAAATAAGAGCTGAATGATTTAAAACATTTTATCACTACACTAATAGGAGAACAAGATCCAGAGAGAAAAAACAATTCTTCCTATCCCTTATGAAGTCTGAGATGAAACCCTTAGACATCTACAATTTGCAGAACACTATGTAAGCCATCATGAGGTGTTTGTTTTTAACCCCAGCAGCATTTTACCCTGAGAATGTTTTACATCAAATTTAGGAGGGAAAGGGTATGAAATTATTAATTGACATGTTCTTAATTGACAGGTACTTTGCTTCAGAAGACTTCAAAGATCACCTGCATGAACTGATGAGGAGCACTTGTCAGCTGCTGAGCACACAGGGTTAGGGGGAATTTGGGACAGGAGAAAGCCAGCACCTCTTTGTGTCGTGGCAGTGCTTGTTAGGAAAGGTTTGGCAGTAACTGTTTGAAACAGAAAAAGCACATGCTGACATGGATAAGAAGCTTTTCAGGAAAGTAAAAGCTGATAATGTTAAGTGGGAGGTCAATCTGCATTAATTAGCTGCCATTCCCAGTCATCAGTACAATGCTGTACTGTTATTTATATAATTGGGTACATGAGTGATTTTTAGTGAGGTGTTTGTCCATCCAAAATCCTTCCATAGAATATGTAATGCTAGGAGCAGTTATTTTTAGTCAGTTTTTGCTGATCACTGGTCAATTTAAGAAACACTAATCATGTGTGGAGGTGGAATTACAAAGCCTATTTTTGCACAACAGGAGGATGATCAGAGACCAAAATCTATTTCCAGCAAAGTTTAACAGGTTCAGAATTATCAGCTAAGGGGAGAGTTACCATGGGCACTTAGGAAATACTTTCATTTCATTTGCTGTTCCCTCCATATGTTTTGACTTTCTTGGAGACTGGGTGTCTCCACCACACTGGGACACTTCAGTTGTCATGACTGAAAGAGAAATCCCTGGTTACATACAGATAACCCAGACTACAGTCAAGTGACTTTTACCAACAGAAGACTGTGCTTAAAAGCTTTGTGTCTTTTCCACATCTCTCCTTTACAAAACTCATAGTATCTATTATGTAATTAATGCTGGCAGCATCATTGTGAGGTAAATAAGGAAACAGGAGGCAGAAAGACTAGAGAGAGAAAAAAGTGGTGACAGAAATAGTGTTGGAAACTAATTCCACTGCAGTTTCATTTTTACAAGACATCTAAAAACACTTAGTTATTCCTGATGGTGACATTAGGAATTCAGAATGAGCTTCACAATTCATTAAACTTTAGTGTCTGCTGTTCCTGTTTGCAAAAATTGTGCAGAGAATATGCAAGAAGAATCTTCCCTGCCAGTGTGTGAATCAACCCAGAGCTCCTGCAATTGGCAATGGGAAGATGGCCTTCTGCAAAGGCAGCTTTTTTCTGGTATAAGATCCAGCTCTCAGCTGTTTGTCACCACCTCTTTGCCTGAGACATTTCCAGATTTAGTGGTGCAGATGATCATGTAGTTCCATGAAGACTTCATCACACATCACTAGGTCAACTGATGCTGATTAAATAGCTGATCAGGTCTAATCCTGATTATTTTGTACCAAAAGAGTGAAGATGAGTTCTGTTTGTGCATCCATCAGGTCAGTTTCCAAAGGCAAAAGCAGCAGCTCACAGAAAGCACCTCTCCCACCAGCACAGCTCTCTTTATAGTGAGCATTCATCTACAGCTGGAAATGTAGACCCATCTGTCATTCTGATCAATGTGGACACACTGTTTACAGATGTGGCAATGGAAACAATAGGAGGCAGTTAATTTTAAGGCAGTTTATAATTGTGACTACAAAAGAAAGCTTACATAGTTTTCCCTGACTACGATATGTGACCACCATGGAGAACTTGATTCCAAGTTATTTGACCTGAGTTCAGCATAACTACATACCTGTTGAAACTTCCACTTGAGTACTAATACTGTAGGAAATACACTTTTCCACCAGATATTACTTTTATTAGCATTTGTTATACAGATAACTGAGGGAGAGGAGGGTGACAATGTTATTTCCATTGAAAGATCATTTAAAATAGTCTTTTTCCATACAGCACACATATTTGGTTTATACCTTGCCTATTTCTTCTTATCCTTCAGCTTTCCAAGTTTGTCAAAGAAAATGGTCAGAGATACTACCCAAACCCACCAAAAACAGTGGCCCCAACTCCATTTTAAAGAGCTCAAATATAACTTTTCTCCAAGAATAGCCAATATGCTACAAAACACTGAAAGGACTATGGAGATCATGACATACAGTCAGGTCTTCACAGGGAAGCAGTTTTTCTTAAATTAATTTAGTTGGGATTGCAATGTGAGACCACAAATTATTAGCCCCTAAATTTCTCAAAGACATTGATTTTTTTTTTTTTGTTATTTAGTAATAAAGGACACATAAACTGTAAATTATCTGAGGTTTTTCAGGAGGATATTGAATTAGTTCTGTTTTTCCTAACCCATAAAAATGTGTGACAATAAAACAAGTCTCTGTTTAGGAAGAGTTCCAATATATGGCCTTATCCTGGGTAACTATTATATAAAAGCAGTTTGCAGATTGACTGGAGAGCTAGGTGAAGACACAGAATTAATAAATACTGCATTTACTAAGAATCTCATGCTTCCACCAAAAGTAATACTGGCAAGAGTATTATCTGATTCAGCTACCAGAATTAAGCCTTCTCTTTGACAATACTTAAGCACAGGGCAAAGCTCACTCTAAAGCAAAGGCAAAAGTTCAGAATACTAGATCAGTCCTGACACAGCTAGTTGACAGAACTCCTATAATGGATTAATGACTTCTTCAGGATTTGCAGGATGGGAAGTTACTGTGATTATCTGCTTACTTTTTATCTTACCATTTTAAGTTGGCACCAGCACACAGCAGCAATTCAAAAGATCTTTTGCCTTGAGTAGTATGTGAAACAGCGTCCATAAAAATGAGTTGGCAGCTCTCATGTGAATGGGGCAGCACTACAGAGACTGAAATGTATTGGCTACGTGTTCAGCTGCTATTAATCAGGACAGTCTGACTGAACTCAGCAATTTACTGTCCTTATTGCACTATGTGTTTGATAAGTGACTTATTACCATTGCAGACTACTGCTTCCTTACTAACTATACCAGTTTAAGTTTGGCAGAGTTTCTATGATTTATACTTCTCCATTTGCATGAGTGATTTGTCTTTCTTCCTCCAGGGTGCATCAATAACATTAGCAGATTCTATTTTAATGCCAAGATTTACTCTTAAGGATGTATAAAACTATACTGAAAAACCCTGTGTTTGTTGTCTTCAACACTTTATATCCTCTGTGACCTGTATAAAAGTGAAAAGATATTATCTGCATTAAATGCTACTCATGCAAGCAGAGCATAATATGGTATACAAGCAGAGCAAATCAAGTTGAGAGTTGTGTTTTGCTAACGCATCATTACCTGTGATGGCTTTATATACACAGCTCTGATTGATTGTAACTCTAAGCAATTGTAACTGACTCAGCAATTCTGCAGGTAAAACAGAAGGAACACATCCCTGCTCTGCTGACTTTATACACTTCCAGATTCTAACTGCATGGACTTACATAAAGCAGAGCAACTAAGTAGGGTGCTGCCATTTTCTTAGTTATAGTCCAAAATGGCCCTGGATAAGAAGTCACCCAATTGTCTTGCTTTTCTTCTATTGGATTAAAACAAATCCAAGTAAGGAAATCCCTTCTGATTTACATTTCACATTTTCTGATGCATTTACAAATTTCTGATAATTGAATCCCTGTATCTGAAATGGAAAAGCTGTCTAACTTTTTTTCAGTGTGATGAAGAAAACAAAATCTTTTGCTTTATGATAATGAACACTTCAAACAACACTGTCTCTGGAAATTAAAATCGAGACCAACACCTTACATAATTCAAAACTGAGCAGTTTTATTGCCCTCTAGCTTCCAAAGTGTGATTGGCAGAGGCCTACCCTGGGTCATGATGATTTACCTGAACAACACTCATCCACTTAAAGCTTACATATGATGAATATCAAACACTGAGATTGTTCAGCACAGTAATTGCTGAAGTTAATTCTTTGGCTACGGGACTCAAATGTACCTTACATTTCAACAGTTCCTTTGGCTCTGCACCAGGATCTGAAGCTTCAACAATTCAAATGATTCATAAAGGTTAACAGCATGTGAGAAGTGGATCAAACTGTGGTTGAGAAAGATAAAAAGTCACATGCAAGTGAGCATCCTTAAAACCACCTGCAGCTGTTCCTAAAAGTTAAAAACACATTAATTCCAGTCACCATTTATACTATCACTCATACCAGAAGACAGATGCTTATAGAAGAAAGCACAAGACCCATTTATATCTTATTTACCAAAGTGGAACAGAATACTTTATTTTCCAAAGCAAAAGGTGTGACTCTGAGCTCCCTATATGACAGGGGCAGTAGTGAAGGTCTGGGCTGTTTCTCTTTGAGCGACATCTAACTGTGCTTTTTCACTAGTCACGATCAATGGTCTGCTAAAATAAGCAGGCCCTGCTAAGAGACATAGATGGCAGTATAAATCCTGCTACTTTCTTCATAGAGAAACATTTCTGATGGTCTGTCACAAGTGACACCTCCTGAAGGGTGCACTGCCTGCTTACTTCAAAGTGAACATCCCCATGAATCAATTCTGCAAGACCGGTACTCCTTCAGATGCCTTCACATGTACTCAGCATTGCCACTGTTGTCACCAGCTACTAAGGCACAATGCTGAGTGAAATAAAAAGAGCAGCCAGCCTAGGTCATCAGTGCAAAGTGACAAAAAGCACAAACCAAAAATGGGATGTGAGCCAAGAGCAGGACATTCTGTCTCAGACATACTATCAGAAAGTTCCTTACCTTGAATCAAGCCCAACAATAAACAACCTTCTGTTGCAAAAAGAAGGACTGTAGAGGTGGTAGCTTTCAGGAAGGCCCAAATTTGAATCCCTTCCAAAATCTGCATGTTCACTTTCATATGAAGATTTCAAGCCCAGATATTTGGATGAACATGCAATATGGGAAAACCCAGTTAGCCTAAGTAAGCCAAGCTTACCACTGGATGAAAGTGGAATTTTGTTGCACAGACTTTGGCATCAAGAAACATGTCTGCCTGCATGGAAACCAGAAGATGGGCCAAGAGAGATAACACTGCCTGAATAGATACCTATCTGTGAAGTTCCTTAGCACCAGACAGCGCTGATGGAGCTGCAACATTCCTTCTCTAAGACAGCAGCACAAAAACATTTACATGATTCTGTAAAAGGAAAGAGAAAAAATCCTCACAGATAACACTATTGAGAGAAAGAGACACAAGAACTATGGTTTCAATGCCTCTTTATTTCTTTAACTGGCACATTCTTTTAAAAATGGAATAACAAATAAAAATAATTTCAGTACAAATTGTCTAGCCTTTCCCAGAGAACCATAATAAATTCAAACTGTAAAGAGAAGAGCAATATGAGTAGCCCAGGACATGTGCAGGATATTTGAGAACACTAGAAGAGTTTGAGCTTGAGGCTGTGAAAATATGACTGTACTAGAGAATCACATTGGTGGGATAAACACTGGTTTGGAAAGAGTTGGTTCATTAAAGGCCAAAAGGATTAATAAATGAGCATTACAGTCTGACTGGGAACAAACTTAGGGTGGGTATGACAAGATGATTTTTAATGTTAGCAGCAGGGAGATGCAGGAATAGCTGAGGAGCAGAACAGAAAAGAGACTGTTTCTGTTTATGAAAGGAGCCACGACGCAGTTGCCAACAACAGCTGGGAATCAGAGTTATTGCCCCAGTAAGGCTCTTTGCAAGCCCTCCCAAACACCAAACTTCCAAAGGATCCTCTGCTACTCTGCAGGGGGACAAATGCCAATAAAGACAGCACTGCCATGCACACACGGGGGACAAACGTGATTCTTATGAGCTGTGGAATTTCTTCATCTGTGCACAGCATATTCCCAAAGTCTCCATGCTCTAAGGCTGACTGTGGCCTCTCCAAACACACATTCCTATGTCAGACGATTGTGGCTTGTGTTTCAGAGTCTTCCCTCACCTTTTGCACTCATTGTCTAAGACAGGAATGTTTCAGAAAGGCCACAGAGACTGTGTTTAAACTGAAGGGAAATCTGGGAGGGAGAACGGGATTTAATAGTCCCTTCAGGGATTTGAAGAACCTTTAGGATCAATCAGAAAAAATACCAAAAACATGTAATCTGTTATTAGGAGTCAAGCCTAGATGGCTGAAAGTGATCAATATAATAGCCAGGGATTAAAAAGGAGCATTAACTTGGGGGTTATAAAAAAAAAAAAAATTAAGACCAAGAGATAAGGCAAGAACAGCTCTGGATTCCTGAGAAGTGTGAACAAAATCAACTAAATAACCATCCCCAAATACAATATATTTAAATATCTTGAATAAATTTTGTAAAGATTTTTGAAAATAAGGAAGCAGTAAAGGAAACTTTGTGGAAAGCAATCTCATAATAGAATGCAAAGAATACACTTAAATTGCTATTTTCTGTGTGCTGACAGATTTATGATGCTGCTACACAGATTTCAGGAACATAATATTGGAACAGCTTTTTCAGGAACAGCTCATATTGGTTCAATGCATATCTTCAGAAGCTGCAGCCAAGTGGGGATTAGAGAAGCAGAAACAGCTTACAGACATTCATTACGTTTTTTTTTTTAACACTAAGTTAAATGAGGGGTTATTCAGTTGTTTCCTAGAAAGAACCTGAAGAGGGAGCAAAATACCACTGTGTTTTTCATTAAGAATTTTTTCATTGCATTCTTCTAAGCAGTCCCATCAAGGAATCGGATATATTTCCCTCTACCTTCAAGCAAATCACCAGAGTTCAGGAGACTGGCAGGATCATATCCTGAATACATGGCTCAAACAGAACCTTGTGTCCAGCTAGTTCTTATCCACTGAACTTTCCCTTACAAAAAAGAGATACTAGCAAAGAATTATGGCACAAATCCCCTATGACTTTATTCATGTGTGAGATCTTCAAGTCAGTCAGGACACAGGGCTCCAGCAGCGCACTACCTTCTGTGCAAGAATTCAGAGTACAAAGGGCTCTGAGGCTACCAAAAGGATATAACTAAAATGACATGACGGGAGTCAGAGACCTTATTTTCCATTAGGATATGATACTCACTTTCTATGACACCTTTACACATTTCAGAAACAATGAGACTTAGTTTTTAAAACTGAAGTGATTTATGCATTTATTAGGACACAAGAAGAGCATCTAGAGGATTTAGTACAAAAGTAACCGAGCAGCATAAAAACAGATGAAATTTAAAAGTGAAGTATGAAAAAACTTACTGCAAAAAACTGCTGAAGACAGCTCAGCCATAAATGGGCTTTTAGTTGGTTATTACCTCCTGGAGGAACTATTTTAAAGTAACTGCAGACCCCCGCCTTTTGCTCTGCTTCTAGTACAATTCAGGATAGCAGAAAAGACAGAATATTATGTTATTTGGATATCTTGCATTTTTGTTCAGCACACTTCCTAAGTAACAAAAAGCAAGAAAGTCTGGGAATACAATGAAGGCAAAAAGACTGACATAATTTTTTTAAAGCCTTAGAGACATGTCCTAATAGCATAAGAAAAACATCTTCCACACTAGCAGCTTGGATTAAGTATTCTCAGAGCTCTGAAACTCCATGCTTTAGGATTATAAACTCCTTCTGGGTAGTTTTTGTGTCTGCAAAACTTTCCGCAGCATTTGTCGTTGTCAGAAACAGTACTAAACCCCTAATCTGGTCTGATAGAATACTTGACACATACCTGAAGTCAGATGCAAAAAGAAGCAATGAAACCGAGCTATTAAATCTGATTCTAAAACTACCAGCCTGGTGATTCCTTGGTGACCAAACTCATGAAAACTTGACACAACAGGCAGCAAAACAAGCGTAAGATCCTTACAGGGAGGAAACCCACCTTCCCACTGACAGAAACACTCCATGTGTTCTACCACCTGCAGGAGTGACTTCCTCTCAATAAAGAAGAGTATGAAGAAAACAATCCATGAACATGTTGTCTCAGGACTTGGTGAGGTTTCACATTCAACATGTCCTCCTGCTGCTGTACACAGAGGCCTCATAGCTCTGCAGAGAACTGGGTTTACACTTACAAGAATTAAGCCTGCCAAAGTACACCAGTTTCATTTCTGTGGGAGAGTGGAGAGAAATTCGCCAGTTTATGGCCTTTTCTCTATTTATGTTATGAAAGGCTTCTCCTTTGAAAATTCTAAGGTAAGCAAAGCTTTTATTTTTAAGAGTCTCATGTGACTCTTGGGACCATACTACTGCACATAATTCATGTCTGGCCTATACCTTACACACAAGAACTGCATAGGTTTTAGTAGATTACATCAGATTCGTACATCATCCTTACACAAGGAGACTCAACCATACAAATCTCCTTAAAAAAGGACTCTTAATTTTAAGCTTTTCTTGGGGCTAAATTAATGCTTTGGAGACTAATTTCACAATATCTGAATTTAGGCTGTTGCGGAGGTACTTTTCACTCTACAGCTGGGATTATTCAGAAGTCAACATCCTAACTGATCATATGAGAGGACAGTAATCCTTGGCTCCCACAGATACACAAAGCAAATGTGTTATCAGTGTAACTAATTGTCATCCCCTCTGAATAGGATATTCCAGAAATTCTTCCAACTGTGATTCATCACAAAGAAAAAAAACAACTTATGGAAAATGGGGTTGTTTTGACCAACTACTTGCCATCCAAAAGTTGAAACTGAGGCCAGTAAAAATTACTGTTATTGTAGCATGATTTTGTCAGATGCAATCAGACTTTCAGACAATGTTCAAGGACATTTATTATACCTCTATTATTTTAAGCTTTCAAGTAAACTGTGGCAGATTCCACAATAGCATGAGACTACCTTTGAAGTTAAAAACATAATGGACTTTATAAGAGAATATCCTTTCATTTGCCTTTCAGTTCTTGAATCCCCAAAGTTAATTTTGAAGTTCTTTTCCAAAAGAAACACACTTATGTCTTTAAGAAAAGCTGAACTTCTGAAAAATTGCTGGGTCCTGAATCTTTCAAATGTGAATGACCTTCTTGGTTAACTTAATTAACTTTGTCCTTGAACTAAAAAACTTTTTTTTTTTTTTCTACATTACTATCTTGAATCACCTCTCTTTTTAACCTACTTTCACTATGGGAACTGGATTATAAGGACTCAAAATTATTTTTCTGATAGTAAAACAGAAGTTGATGCAGTCTTATCCTAGGACAAGTCTTGCATTCAGTCCTTTCTTGCTACTCCATGCTTCAGAGCAAATTACCCCAACTTCATGCACTTATGTTTTATACTCACTACTCCTCTGTACTCATGCAAACAAGATGCCTCTGTTGTGTTACTTGTCTCAAACCATGAGCTGATTTACAGAGAAGTTGTATCCCACACATCTTATTCTGAGGTCCAAGGTTACTTGTCTGTGAGCCCACAGATATCGAGGCATCTATCAGTCCGCAGGCAGCTACCAGGGCAAGTGCTTGAGCAGTGAAGGCAGGCATTGAGTCCATGTTCTCAGTTTGAGGTCTGTGTTTGTTTTAAATTGACAAAGAATGACTCTGAACCCCGGATCTTCTTATCTACCCAGCTCCCCACAGATGAATGACATTGGCTTCTACCTACCCCAGTTCTGAGGACACTTTATCATACAATAAATGGCTGCTGAATAAATATTCATGCCTGAGGCATAAAACCACAACATCAAAGAATGGTCAAAGTACTTTGCTATTTTCAGACCTGTTAAAATCATCAGTAAATTTATCACTCAGTAAGTCATGGCATTATAATGGTTGTGCAATTGATTCAGTGAGGAAAGCTCAGCAATCTCCCACCTGCCCACTCGTCTTTGTACTCTGGTTGGACTAGCTGCTGTCTCCACCTGTGCCTCCTGTAATTTTTTTTACAGCTCACTGCGATGCTGAACAGCATTTCCTCACCCTATGCCTAAATGGAACCTACAACATCCTGGCCAGGCAATTCTCTCTATTTAGCACTTAAGAGACACTCTTATGTCCCTTAGCGCCAAGAAGTTGCTTTCACAGTTTCACAAAACTCACTCTCCAAAAACATGGGAACAGCAGATACAGAAAGAATTCCAAGCTCTGCCTTCCTCAACTGCCAAACCTTCATATGCCACTCTAGACATCAGCTGTGGAAAATATTTTTATGTCCCACTCCAAAATAATTTGTCTTTATAACATAGGAATGGGGCAATACAGAAGCAGTTCTTTTAAATGTGGGAATAGTTTTTCCTTTCCAATACTAGCAATTAAGCACTGAATGCAATC